TTTAAATATTGATAAATTTAAAATAATCAGCTTTAGAAAAAGTTTTCTTTACATGTGAAACTGAAGATACACACCAAAAACGTAGCTTCCAATAAAGTCGAAAAATCTGAATGCGGCACTTAAGCCATCGTATAAACTTAAAAATATTCTGCAATTGACAGTTCCTTCGTAGATGCCGCGTCTGTCTGCTGCATCCTTGTTTTTCAAAGGATTTTTCTGTTTCTGAGATTTTATTTTGAGAATTTATTGTTGTCACACTTGTGAATATGAGTTCATTATTTTCCATGCAAAACTTATGTGAAAACAATTTAATTTTATTGTTTTTCTCATAAATTCTAAATAGAATTTCCCAATTTCTTCCTCCTTCTGGAAGGCATTTATGCGAAATATATGAAATAATTGAGTCACGTTTTGTGAGGTTTCACAAAATCAGTCAAATTTATGCAAAACATAAAATTTGAGGACTCTCAATCAATTGAGTTGAAATATATGTGAAAAATTTGCATATATTTGACAGAAGTGATTTGGGGTACATATTCCAATAAAAAATGTATTCCTTATTAATAATTTGAAATTGAATATTATGTAAATATTTGCTGGAAAAATATACGCAAAGGATTTATATGAATTTTTTTCCAATTTTCACTTTCACCTAAAAAGCATTGACTAGTGCCATTGTAATATGTTCGGAATTCACGTCTTTAATCGACAGTTCCATGAAGCTACCTTCTGCTCAAAAAGTTGGATTTTGTAAATAAAACACACAAATTTAAATTTTATTCCAACTTTATTTTATATCCTTCAGTATATACTCCTTCTGAAGCGATACACATATGCCAATGCTTAACCCAATCTTCCATACACTTTTCGTAAGTCCGTGCAGATATAGCTTTTAGTTCCTTCGGCTAATTCTCTTTTACCGATTCAATCGACTCAAAACGCTTACCACGAAGGGGCAATTTGAGTTTCAGAAACAGGAAAAAGTCGCACGGCGCCAGATCTGACGAATATGCCTGAGCTATGACAGTGGTGCGTGTTTGGCCAAAAAATCGCGTTTGGTCAACAACAAGAATTTTCCATAGTAAAAATCGCTATATGCACTTGAAGTAGTCTCACATTAACAGCTGCTGTAAACAAACAGATGACAGATGGTGCTCAAATTTGTACCATATATCAAGAGAGGGTGTACCAACATAGCAAAAGAAAAATTTTTGAAAAGGTCTATTACTTAAGAAGTAGTTAACAAACCACAAAATCCGAATACTTTTTGAGCAGAAGGTATAATGTTTAGGAAAAACTGCTACTTTTCAACACTGTTAATTGTGTCAATTTTGGTTACTGACATTTCAACCAATCGAAAAATGAACCTCAGAGCTTAAGAATTTTCAAATTTTCACAAATAACATATACACTTAAAATCTAATAATAATTTCTACTGACATATCAGAGGAATAATCTCTTGATGATAATATTTATCTCTTTATAATTAATTTTTTACACAATCGAGACAGTACCACAAATTTCATGAGTGTAACATCGGAAACCAATACCATATTTTTTCATTAATTCAATTTTATGAAATATTTCATTTATTTTATTTTAACATCTCGCTTTCGTTAATAGTCATCGATATTTAATTCACTTTCCCTTTTTATTTTTTTTCAATATCATAATATAAACTTCTTTCTATTCAACATTTTTTTTTTTTTTGGAAGAAAAATATTTACCAAGTGTTACATGTTCGTGTATGAATTTCGTCTCCTTGCACTGCAATCCAAAGTAAAAGTATCCAGAAAAACAAGTTGTTTTGCTACATCCCGACTGGGACGATACGTGATCATATTTGCACTGCATACTGCATGTCAATAAAGGGAGCAGCAAAAACTTACCAGATACGTGCTGGAATCTGCCAAACTTATATATTTTCGGAACATATGTAAACATTTTCTAAATAAGCAGCAATACGTTTGTAAGATATCACTGATATCCACAGCAATACAAATATAGACAGTCATAACGACATAATTTTAATGCTACAAATGTTAAAATTGTAGTCGTCTTGCAGTAACGTCTCTAATTATAAACGAATTTCACATCTCGAAACAAGAATCTTTACAACTACTGAAGACTTTTCAGTAAAATATTTATAAAAATATAATTATATATATATTCAGCCAAAAAATATATAAAAGTCCTTGCACCCAAACATTCATATATACCAACATTATCTTCACTTTTTATGCTTAACTTCATTTGCAACATAACATGCTGTTGAGACCCCTAAGAATATGGGATCTATGGTTTATCCCACCTCTTTTATGGGAGAATATTTGTATTAGCTCATGAAAACTACATTTAATATTTTATCTGCCCTTGTAAAATACTTTAAATATTTTCGCGACCCACAGTTAGTTTGGTAAGACTATATCTGTGCCTTAAGAATAACCTTCATTCAAGAATGCAACAGTATTTTTGTTGTTAGTAATGAACTCACTGGATTGCATAGTTTTTATTGATGTTTGGAACTGTGGATTCGGGTTAATAGTTCTTTTACTGCATAATTATTTCAATCCCCTTTGAAGACAATCCCTATTACCTATCTTATAAGTTTATAAGTTTGTTAAGTAGTTTGTTCCCATCGAATCCACTGAACTCAGAACTCAAGCAAGTATAACTTAATTCAAATTAGTAGCTTACGAGTACGATGAAGTGTACCCATGTTGGTTTAGTAAACCAAAATAGAAATGATTTTGTTATAGTCTAGCTACTGTTGCTTTCTGAAGTTCCGTATACTTTAAAAAGCAGTTCTTACAAAAATTAAGAAATATAATTTATATCATCCATACTTATCTATTGTACTGTTTACTTCCAATCAAAACACCTAACCGAATTTATAGCACTCAACATGAAACATATTTCCCAATTTAATTTATCTGTATCTGTTCAGCATGCTGACATGTTTCCAAGGATAATCCAACAAATTCATCTTCGTTGTCGGATATTGTTCGTAAAAACTTCATTTTAAAATGTTTCTACTACTCGCATTCCCTACTCTTGTTCCAGTTCTACTCACTTTTCGTTAGAAAATATTCCATCAGTTTGGATGCGAATATTTCGTTTAAAAACGTGACGTGATTATTTGATTTTTCCGCACAAAACTTTTGCAATTCACAAATGGAATTTCACTGAATTTTTACGAAAGGAGTTTTGGCATAGAGAAACAAAGCCAAATGAAAGGAAATGAACTTCATTGACAGCTTCATCCGTTTGGTTGTGTCTATTTTGTTTCCGTATCATAGCGCATTTGAATAGAAAAAACAGCAAATTTTACAAGTGATAAAACATTAAAGAAAAATATCACAAACGTAAAGTATAACAATTTTGTACTTTCAATCCATCTCTATCAGTATCCACAAAAAAATAATTAATTTCTTTAACAAAGTGAACTGACAGCATTACGTCAAATAGAAAATTTTGGAATAAACTTATTTACTGAGAACTTTAAAATTTAATATTTCAACATTTCAAACTTTTGCATTAATCACTTGGCTCGTCACACTCAAACACCCATAATTTTGGGGTTGCAAGGCTGAATGATTCGGTTACAACTGCACACCCCTTTCCAGAGAATTTTGATGTATGAACTTTTTCATTTTGTCCAGCCTTGAGCAAATCATTAATAAATTTTGGGGTTAAAATTCCGTTACTTTTGCTAGTCATTTGGCAGTCCATTCAATAACACTGGCACACCCCCATCATAAATCTCTGTCTTCCGTTTGCTTAATCATATTTACTTAACAGCGAAAAGAGCAAAAATCTTCCATAAATTTTCAACACAAATTTTGATTTAATTAGTTTTGTTTAACTTGATTATAGACTAGAAATCAATTTGGACTCCTCAACCGATGTTTTCACTGTAATCTTATCGCTTTTATGACTTTAAAGGGTTAAAAATTTAATCTGGAGTATGAAATTACAGATTTTTAATATTTGCGTAGCTGAGTTTGCTCATTATAAACTTAACACTTGTTGAACCCTTTTTATGAAACATTATCTTTAATGAAGTCTTGGAAACGATTATATTTTACAAATAAAGAAAATATAATATATATGTACATGTGTATACATAGTTGAAATGGATTAAAAATACATTACATATCTAACACAATCTTAGAGAAGAAATCCATATGTATTTCATATTAAGTCAAATGCATTGAAAGCTATTAGTGTTATTATGTTCATCTTCTATTTATGATAAGGAATTTTGATCATTGATGAATTCCTTTGCTTATAGTTTAATTAATTTGATTATGAGTTCTAATTACTATACTTTTCAGTTATCTGAAGACACAACACAAGTCTCATGGATTATAAATCCTGATATTGTTATTCTTTTACTGTCTCTGTTTGACCAGCATAAGTAGTTAAAATTGAATTAGCTATAGCGATAATCAGTACAAGTAGAGTAAAAAATCAATATTGCAAAGATAAGGACTCATAGACACACCAGCAGTTCTTCACACTTTACATCTAATAGGCAAAGTATTTCACATGCAGAGAAAACCCTTATGCAGTCGGGTTCCAAAAACGCACCACGAATTCGTAGAGCTGCAAGATATGTAGCGAACTAACAGCAAAATCAGAAATAAAACTACAATTTTAGATAAGAATATAGAATCCTTAATATATAAATTGAAATCCTTAGTGACGACTATCGAAACAGAATCAAAACAGGAAACTCATTTTAATAAGTGCGTCCCGAATAATTTATTGACAAAATGAAAAATTATGAAAACTGACGAATCGAAAGTATAAAGATATAAAACACATAAAAAAATGGATAAACCATAAACCATGCCTTCATTTAAGCAGCTTATAAAGCTCAAAAAAATAAACGAAGAAGAAGAATAGACCTGAATTTTTTCAAAGCAAAGAAACCTTTGCCTTTTTAAAAACTTTAAAAAAATTTTAGTTATATTAAATTTATTTTCATTAAAAATAAAAAACCATAAATAAAGTTAAAAAATTCTTCTTCACTTGAAGCCAGAAGAATTTCTTTGAAATCATTAACTACTTCGCATCTTATCAAAATTAAAAAGAAAGTGTTTATTCATTTCCATTCCTCATCACTTCGATTCCTAAAATAATTCACCATGGATTCTATCGATATTTATCAGCGTGTATGCCGAAAAGTCAACTTTATTCTTGACAATCCTCCCAAAGCAGACCTGTCCGTTGAAACTACACCAGAACCCTCCATATACGAAGAAGAGGAAGAAGAAGAGGAAGTTATTGATTGCAGAGCCGTGAAAATGGAGTTAGAGTGCTTAAAACGTCGTATACAAAAACTACAACTCAAACTTAAATTGGATGTTGACGTATGCCCTGATGATCCATGCGTAGACTATGAGATCGAATTGAGCTGTTCACATAATAAGGAAATTTGTGAATTACAAAAAAACGCTCACAAACTGCAGTGTCAAATTAATGAACTGATTAGATGTTGTAATGCAGGTAAGGACCAAATACGTGACCTACGTGAACGTTTGTGTTTTCATGCCAAGGAAATCAATAAACTGCAGGAAACTACGATCGAATTGATTGACTGGAGAAACACACTTGCATTGGAGTTTGGTGTTTGCTTGGAACGATTTCGTTATCTAAAAACTGTTAAAGCTGAGTGGACTGAAGTTGCTGAGGTGTTACAAAAGGAAAAGAAAAAGTTTTATCATCTTGAAAAGGATTATGTGCCTAAAGAGTGGTACGAAAGGGAGTTAGCAGAGCAACAAAGAAGAATGGACGCTTTGGAACGGTTAGTATTGCGTTCTGTTAAGAGACCACAAATTGCAGTTAAAATGTGTCAACCACCAAAAAAATGCCGTAAGAAGAAACGACCTTTGAATAAAGTCTTTCCGTTCTGTACAGATAAGGCAATTATAAAAGATGAAAATCCAAGAAAACTATTTTTCAAACTGCCTTTCCAAATTTATATGCCGTGAACTGTATAAATTTAAAAAAATTTAATTTTGATTTTGAAATGAAATCGAGTAAAACTGAAGAATTTCTTATATTTAGTAGTAAATGTTTAAGATTTAATTAAAGAAACAATAAAAGTTACTAGTAATTAAAACAATAAAGCAAAGTTTATTTTCTTAAATTAATTTCGTCATTCAACTTTATTACTGCAGTGAAACCCTCTATGATATCTTCGCGTTGGTATTTGTACTCGGAAACTTTAGCCATTAAGATTTTTAATTTTAATTTCATTCATTTCGCGTGAAATTTCCATTTCAATTGTGAAACATATTTAAAATTGTGCCAAACGGTTAAATTTACTCTGGCGTATTACCCACTGCCTTCACGTCCTTGCAGGCATATGCCGGATGCCTCCTTAAAGACATTTACTTCAGTAGTAAAATAGCCTCTCAATTAAGATTATTGTAGCATGAAAACTTTATTGGACTTTTGTGGGCCATTTAATCAGTGTAATAATAATTAGAAATTTTAACTTAAGTGCTCCATGAAATATTCACGAAATCTTTATGAGATCCAGGTTACGAAATATACAAGAAAAATAAATTTGATTGCGGATCTTATGACCTCAGCAATAATTTTTAGCAATTTAAATTTAAAATATTGTATTAATATAATTTCTTTAGAAATTTTTGAGCCCACCAGTAAGATAGGGTCCAGATTTGAAGAATGAGAATGTTAAAAAGATTTCTATTAACTTTATGAATTTAATAATCATACTATATTGGGATAGTAAATAAGGCAGGAAAACGGATGTACGTTAAATATAAAAAAAAACTGTGACCAATTTATATGGTAGTACAGTTAAACAACGCAAAAAGTAATATAAAAGGGTACATATACCCTTCTGGTACACCTAATATGAAGCAAGATAAAAAAACTGTTCTTATGTCGTAGAATAGGACACAGCAAGAGGAAAAGGTGATGATACAATGTCAATCACTCACACTTACACGAGCTTGTTATTAAAAAAATTTAAATAAATTGTTTAATTAATTTATATATATTAAGATTGAATTATAAGTTTAATTTTTTGAACTTTCCACTTATCTATAAAAAATTAAGTAGAACAAGACAATATCATCTCTAACATTCCAACACAACGTTTAAATCACGGGTTTACAAATTTAGTGATTTCAAAAATAAATGTAAATAAGATAGACTTACAATTAAGATGTCGAGTAATATATTATTTCGATCTTACCATTAAGTTTACAATATTACGTAATTAAAATGCTCTCTAAAGGACAACTTACAGTACTCGATCTTTTTGAGGTTATTTTCGCTGACTTATCGGCATATAGCTGCCAATAACTTAGCATTGAGGAAACAGTTTTTCATTTCCAAGTGACAAAAATTTAAAGTTACTAGAGTAAGCAAGACCCTTTCCATAACCCTGCGAAAGTAAGTTGACAAACAAAGCGATCTTGATAATCATTTCGCATCCTCAAAACGTGCTGTTGGTTCGAAATATTTCTCGCGATATAAAGCCAACATAGAAGGCAATGTGTGACTTATCGTATTTGACACTAGTCTATTAAACCACATTTAAATTACAACCATCTTTTTAATTTCATGTCAAAGAGGAACTGCTGTTTATATAGCTGCAGAGAGCAGAATTGATAGGTTGTATTAAATCTAAGGCATTCGCACCTTTCCGTTGATAGTACCTTCGAACATAATGCCACACTATGTAACGATTTGGGTACAATAGTCTTTTGTGGATTTTCTCTACCCTAGATTTGACAATTTAGTTTGTTTATATATACTTCTAATCCAAAATTGGGCTCATTATTAAAAAAAATTTGACCCAACAAAACATTACCATTTTTGTAGCAAATTTTTGCAATCTTAATCATTTCGGCGGTTGTTAAAGGATTCAAAGTGTAAAATGGCAAATATATTGCTTTAAGATCGTCAGCATTTTTTATTAAGTTTTCATAATTTTTACATAGTCCGCGATTGTTAAACAATCCGTATTGTAAAATGACAAATATGTGGTCTAAATTAGACATGATGTACTTTCTTGACAGTTCTCTTTAGCATATGTTACTGAAATAATGCTTATGTCACCGCAACCATAAGAACGAATTAAATAATTCTTAACTATCGTTGGTACAGAAGAAAAACACTTCTTTTCTTTTCTTTATCCTATTAATTTCTTACAGATCTAGAGTCGTTTGTAAAGTATTCATCTAATCTATATTGAAGCCTGCAATAAACTCACATGTAATTTTTGCAAGCTATTATCTATTGTATCAGTAGAAATAATATAAAGAATAAGAATTTATAGTTAAACTAAAAATTTTGTAAAAACTTCTTTCGACGGATTGAAGTCTTATATGCTATCCGAACGCCGAATTCCTTGAATTGAATTTTAAATCTCAATATTTAGGATTTAAATTAGGATTAGAATGGAGCAATATGAGCAACAGAACCAAAGACGTGACGAATTGATTGATTACATTTTATTAATAATTTTTTTATATATATTCATTATTTCTTGACTCTCTTAAGAAGAATCGTAATATAAAATTTTAAAAAATATTTAACAAATTTAATTTAAATAGATGACCTGTAGCCGGAAATAAAATATAGCCCATTATTACCATAACCATGTCGGGGAACAAATGTAAAATTCAATATTTAGGAATCTTATAATTAATACTTTAAAATCATACTTTTCTTCATAAGTATTTTATTTATCCTAACCATCTTGTGGCATTTAAAACTTCGCTTATCACTTTATCCAAAAAATGTTTAATTTGCAAAAAGTCGCATTTTGGTAGGCAACAAATTTCCATTTAATTTCTTGGGCTGCAATAAAGAGACTTAAACGTAGTTTTATTGCCACAATTTTAAATTACGAAATACTTATCTACAAATTGAAAATCTCAGAAATGGAAACACAAAATTGCCCAATCCATGCCAAACCATAAGCACTAATGCGAATATAATTGCGCACAATTTACAGACACATAAAAGTAATCCTACGGAATCGATTGTCAGGCTACAGTTTCAGTTCTAAACACTGAAGTGTTAAACAAAAAGGCATCAGGGATACGCCACTCAACAACGATTTTAGTCTCAAGCGGCTTAGTTAGGAGAAGTGAAAAAAGCAACTTAGGTTTATTGTGTTAATGAAAATTAAATTGGAATACAAATACAAAAACAAGAACTCATACTGTAAGATACTTTCAAGTGATGAGGTGCACTGATACAAATGATTATACGTTTCATTTCATAGAAATTTTAAAAATAACCTTTATAGGTATTCACATTAAGTCATTATATGTGAATGGCAGCACGAGTAAAAGATAACAAAAAAAAAAAAATAATGAAAAGAAAATTAACTCTATATACTATATATATATTCAAATGATATCTATATATATATGATGTGTTATATGATACTCAACTTTATTCATGAAACAAGAAAATGATTTCAATCATATAACTGTTTTGTCTAAAATTAGTTAAATGCTTCATTGAATCCTTAAAGCACAACAAATGTCAATATTCCCATCGCATTCAACGACTTAGGGACGTGAAATAGAACTAAACAAACTAACATAAACGAGACACAATCAGATAAATCGCAAAAAGTTCGTCGGATTTGTCGCTTCATGCCAAATAGTTGCATCCATCACGTGATACCCCCCAATCTAAGCAACGAAACTAATCTGTATGTGAGCTTTGTATTCTTCAGAGTTGGGCACCATTAACAAAACAAACATGTTAACATGGCTCCAAAACGAGGTAGCGAAAGACAACTGCAAATTTATTGGAATCCACTGATAAGAGATACAGGAAAACTTCATGTCTATGCGACACAGCAGCACCGAACTGACACTATTAGACTTCGTACTCGTATTAAAATACATTGCAACAAATTTGGAAAACAACATTCGGTTTTGAAGGCATTTAGATAAACTGGGGTTACGAAATAATTTAAGGGAGAGATGTATCCAAAGAATATTGAGTTGGAATGGGAAATGATTTAGCACATTTAGAGAATAGCTAAGATAAGCAATTAGATTTACAATTGTTAATTTAGTTTTGTATATGACACAGATTAAATTATTTAATTATGAAAATTGAAGAAAAGTATCTCCCCTTAATGTTTAGGATATCTGGAAGCTTACGAATAAATATTGTGTGAATATAAATTCATACTAAATAATATCTAATAAATTTATATGCCAACGTAATAATTCCCAAATACTATTATCGATTGAGGAGAACAATTGAAGAAGAACTAAGAGAAGCCAATTATTCCTGAAGTGATATATGTATGCCGAGAATCAAATAACAGAATCTGATACAAAATGATAGTAGAAGCCCTATGCTCCACTGGGAGATGAGGATAAGAAGATGATTATCGTTTGGAATCGTTTTTTGACAGTGAAAAATTGGCTCTATTATTTGATTTTCTAACACTTAATCAATACCAACATTTAAAGCAATGAATACAGCTTGAAATTTGCTAGAAATAAGTTAAAAATTAGTAATTAATATTTCTAGAATTTTTGAAATTGAAATATATTTTATAAAATATTATTTATGCTGTGAAATTAAGATGTGATTTATATTAAATGCATGTCACAATTTTGATTTTAATTTAAAAACTATTTCCATTTCTTTATAGTTAAGTATATATGTTATATATATTTATATTTTTTAATTATCCACTTCAAATGATAATATCATATTCATATTGTTTGTGCTTCTTCGACTATATATAAAATTAATTTTTAAGCTGCCATACCATGGCAAACACCGAGTAAGCCGCCTTGCATGTTGAGAAGAATGTATCTAAATGTATACGCAAAATACCACCTGCATAAGCAGGACGTTTCTTAAGCGCCCGTTGCATAAAGAGAATCATATGCTTCTTATATTCCGGACTCTGCATAAGCCAATTGCTGGAATAGATAGCTTGAAGAAGTTCATCAAACATAAACTCGAAATTGCTGCCGAAGTAACAGGTAGGAA